TGAGCGCTGCTAGCAGCGAGTTACCCTCCTGCAGTACGTGGAGCACCTGTTCTCATACCAGCTGAGCATGGTGACCATGTTGTCAGACCTCCCCAAAATAAATTGCAGCCAGCGGCTGCGGAGCTGTGAAGCACGTGGTCAGATAAACAAGATTTAAGTGGGAAGCGTGAATCCCTGGCAGGCTGCTGATTCAGAATTCCTTGCTGTCCGATTCCTTGTGCACCCAGCCCATTACTTACTACTGCATCTCACTGTGGTTTGCATAGAGAAAACCTGAGCATGGTGATGTGGATGCTTGATCTTTTTGTTATGTGTAGTGAGCAACAGTGGGATCAGTTGTGGCAAGAGGGAGCTCCAGTTGCTGTTTGCTTAGCTGTTCAATAAATTTAAGATGTTTCATTAAGCAGATGGCAGTGGAGGGCATCTTTTAGGTGTTGTACATTGATGATGTGTGTATCTAAAATTCAGAAGTGAATTCACTTGAATGAGTCATCCTAGCTGGGCAGAGGAGACTGTGCTGCTGTATTTTGGGCTTTAAAACTGGAGTTAGCTTTCACATGTTTCACATTTCCTCTGGAGGCCAGTTCATGTGGGCCTGGTTTTTGACTGGCTCGCGTGGCTGAGAGCACCTGCCCTTCACCAGGAGGGCTGACAGGTAACTGTGCCAAGTCCCTTCTCTGCCACCGCAGGCAGTCTCAAGGTCTGGGGTGGCAGGTTCACCAACCTGGCTGGCTTGTCTGGTAATGTATAAATTCATCCAAACACACCTCTTTGTGAATGAGCTGGTGCTGTGGCATGAACTCAGGACTTGCCTGGTAGTAAACTTGCAATTAGAGCTGTGCTGGGATAAAAAAAAAAAAAAAAACAGAAACAAAAACCAACCAACCAAAACAAGCAAACAAACAAACAACAAAAACCCCCCAAAACAACAAAACAAACCACAAAACCCAAAATGTATGATGGATTTAAAGCAAGCTTAAGGGCTGTTTACCTCAACTTAGTCCATTAAGCTAAAGTAGACAGGCACATGAGTTGGAAACATCCTGGCAGTGGTCACTACAGCCCTTCCCATGTGCTGTAACCTTTCCCCATATCTAAAAGCTTTTTGTTGGCTCCTGTTGCCACTCCAGCAGGACCATAGCACCAAACCCAGCCATCTGGGGAGTTATCCCATGAATTTCAGCATGTTACAGGTCCTGAGAGCATCTTTCCCATAAAATATCTTGAAACCAAACATCAGAAATTCACATCTGAGCAAGTGGGCAAAGATTTTGGTAATCCCTCTTTAGCAAAACTGTGTCTACTTAAAAAGGAAAGTGTCATGTTAGGGTCTGCTCGCTGAGGAACAGGGTGCCAGCCTTGGGTGAAGGTGCCTGAAGGAATTGCTCCTGGCTTTGTTCCGTGTCAGCGGATCTCCAGGTGTCGGCAGCAGAAAGCTCCCATGTGTCCGTTTGCTCTCCCAGTCAGTGGTACACGAAGCTGTCCTAACAGAGCAGTCATCTTAGTTCTTAAACCCACACGTATTAACATTTATGGGGTAGTGACTGAATGCTACAATCAGCTATTTTGTCACTAGACGCTGTCCCAGGAAGGGCAGATAACTTCTAAAGCACTAGGAAGATGGCAAGGAAGAGAACAAAATTAAAATTGTATGCTCAGTTTTCTGGAGGTTTTCTCCTCAGGCTCTTCAGCCGGGCAGACAATACCGCTGGGTTACTAACGGTGGTGGGGAGTGTACCTTGACAGCAGCAGAGCAGTGTATTAGGGTATTTTCTCTTCTTTAGATGAAAAACACAGCTTTTGGATTCAGGGGAAAAAAAAAAAAAAAAAAAGAAAAAAAAAGAAAAAAGTATTTATCCTGCTAAGTAGATTGAAAGAGAATCCAGATTAAATAAATCATTAAATCATTCCAGAATGTTATCCACCTGTTCTGGCCTGTAATTTATTTTCAGATGACCAGTAGGTTAAAAAAAAACAAAAGAAAACCAAACAAAACCAACAATACAATGGCAAAAATTAATTTATTCTAACAGATGCTTTGATCCTGAAATGACACCTGGCCTGGAGAGCTGCTTGTGCAGCTTTTGAAATCATTCTGAACTAATTGCTCCAATCCATTGTTCCATAACCTTGCTAGCCACATCATGCTAAAAATTCTGCTGTAGCCACCTTTGAAGAGGGATCTCTAAGGGGTTTGATGCTGAAAAAAAAAAAAAAAATCATCATTTTAACGTGGGATGGGAAACTTGTAAGGTGACAGAACATGTGTTTGAGGGGACAATCAAATACCAGCCTGCCTGGGGTGAGGGGTCCCAGGCCATTTTGGTGTCAAGGCCGCTCTCCTCATGCGCTGGTGTGGGAATAGAGGACGGTTTCCTCTCTCCTGTGTTCCTGGAAGGAGGGTTGTGCTTCAAAAGGCTGGGAAGTGCTGATCTGGGTGGTTCCTTGTGTTGTCCAGACCTTCTCGTGACTCCGGAAGGGTTCCCTGGGCTCTCCAGGAGAACACCAGTGTGTTTTGTGCCGCCCGCGTTGGCTGGGGATGGGGGGCAGGTGAGGTGCTGGGAGTGGGTGACCGAGGGCTGGAGATGGAGGGCAGCACCGGTGCTGGGAGCGTGGGGAAGGTGGTCAGAGATGGTTTATTGTCCAGCTCTTCCACACCTCCTCTCCGCCCAGCTGCAGCTGAAGGCAGCCACGGCCCGAGAGCCCCATTTCATCTCTCTCCGGTGTATATTTACACAGATTTAGCCAGCTCGGTGGTCAGTTTTCAGATGAATTATCCAATTTGCCGAACGCAACAACGTTAAAGCAGGAATCCGCTGCAGCAGCCCGGCTGGGGAGGGAAGTGGGGGGGGAGGTGGGAGGGGTGAAAGCGTGCGGGGTGCTGAGCGGCGGTGCCCGTACCCCTGTGCTGCTCCCCTCGACCGTAAATCTCGCTGGTAAACTCAAACTCCGGGGGGCTCACTGCCGGCACCAGCCCGGCTCTGCGTCCACCTGGGGGCCGGGCCCCGGGGCCGCTGCCCCCGCGGGGAGCGGGGCCGGGCGCGGGGGTCACCGCGGGGGCGCAGGAAGGGCCGGGGAGGGTGGGGGGGTGTCGGGGGAGCCGCGCCGTCTCGGCCGCACAAAGCCGCCTTTTCATCGCGGCCTCCTGCCCCCGCCGAGCCCGTAATTGTCTTTGACAAAACTTCATTAGCGAGCGCGGCGGCGGCGGCGGCGGCCCCGCGGTCGCGCTGCCTTTGAGCGGGCGCAGTGGAGTGTGCGCGGCCCCGCCGCCCCCACCCGCGGCCATTAGCGCGGCAACTTTGTTTGAGAAACTTCCCACCCCGGCGGGGGCCGCGTCCTGCAGCCGCTCCCGCCTTGTCCCCGCGGCCGCTAATTGGGGAGCGATGCGGGGCCGCGGAAAAGGGGGGGACCCGACCCTTAATAACGAAATGGCTGTCGAGTTTGGGGGGGGGGAGTGGGGGTGGGGGTGGGTGCTGCTCTCCGGCGGCTTCTCGGCCCCGCCGCCCCGGGGGGAGCACCTTGCGCCTCGCCCGGGCGGGCTAGCAAAGCCCAGCCACAAAACGGTTTCAATATGTTTATTGTGGCGCTGAATTTGTTCCGGTGACGCCCAGGCGAGCCCATTATTTTAGCTGTGTGCCTGGGCGCTCGCAGGCTCCGCTCCCGGTATTAGTTCTCCATCAATCCCCACTCTGGTTTTTAATCAAAACAGTATTCGGAATATGATTCCCGGAGATTATATTTTGAGAGATTTGCGATACCTATCTTGCCGGCGTGACAGATTGCAGGCTAGTCCTGGGCGGGATAATCTGCCTGTCGCTCGCTTGACCTTTAATAAAAGGGGAATAAGAATAATAAATAAAAATAAAAGTCTTAAGACTCCCCGAGGTTACCTTCGTGCCTGCCTTAAAAAGCCCACGAAGCCTACGGCCGACTAATAATCACGCCGGGGGCTTCGCGGCTCCTTCGGGCGCTCTCGCGGAGGCCGGGGGAGCTCGGGGGCCGTGCGCGTTTCGTCTCCCGTGGGCGGCTCACGCAAACGGAACCGGCGGGAGCCGGGCCTCTCCCCTGCGCGCCGGGCAGAGGCGGCGAGGAGCGGGACCCGGCCCGGCCCCTGCGGACACGCGTGGAGAACCTGCGCTTTGTTCCCAGGGCAGATAATACCTGTGCCCTCCGGTGGGAGAGCAGGGAGGGAAAAGTCACCTTCCAAGAACCCTTCGAAAGGGCCTAATGCTCTTTATTTACAAGCTCTAATCCTTCAAATCCGACTTGAAATAATGTTTATCTTTTCGCAGTTTAATTTGCTCTACTCTAAACTGCGGGTCACTGCAACAGTCTGCGGCTTCTGCGCCGCTGCTTGCCCGGGACTGCTCCGCAGGGGCGGGAAAGCCCCGGGGCCGGGCCTCTGCGGCGGGGCTGCCCCGCTCCCACCGGCCCCTGCCCCGCTCCCACCGGCCCCTGTCCGGCTCCCGGCCGCTCCGTTACCTGCTGGCCCTCGTGTACGCTTACACCACACACCCTCCCACCTTCCCGCCCCGGCTCCTGCAAAGCCCGACAAAGTTGGTTTTCTTTGACCGGTGCCCGCAGCCCGGGGCTGCTCCCCTCCCCTGCCCAGCTCACGGAGGGGGGGGGCCGGGGCTGTGCGCGGAGCCGGGGCAGCCCCCGCAGCCTCTCCCCGCATTGACCTGCGGCTTCTCCTTTCTTTTACGAGCTGCTGCTCCGGTCGCAAACCCAGAGGACTCCAGGCTCTGCAGCCCCACTCGTCTTGGTAGCCTTTGGTAAACATACAGAAGTCTACTCGATATTCAAGATTGATTTCCCTGATTTATTAAGGCAGAATTCATTGGACTCTATTGACCACAAATGACTTAATGTAAATGTCGACCCCGGTGAACTTGGAAATAGCAGGTATCGGGTTGATCTATAGATGACCTCTTAATTACCACAGTTATTAATTTAAATTATTGCCACTGCTTCTAGAGACAGGAACAAAGAAACATTCATTCCTCATCCCTGCTTGGTTTATTAGTCTGAACACAAAGTGTTTGACGACACTTTTAATTAAACAGAAATAATGCAGAGATACGGTTTCCCTTTCTCGTCTGTCCTGTAAAGTGCAGCACTGCTCTTTTCACTGACGGCGATGACCCACTAAAAACGTCCTGCTTGGCCGCCCGGTCGCCACCCGCTGCCCGGGGGTGCCCCGGCCGTGCCCCGGGGGTGCCCTGCGGCGGGTGCCCCGGGCCGGGGCCGCTCCGGCTCCTGCCTGAAGAGCTGCGAGGTCACAAGACGGCTTCACGGCGTTCAGCTCATCCGTGTTAATTAGACTCTGAGAAATACTTTCAGCGATTATCTATGTACAGCGACGGGAAATAAACAGCCCGGCGTAACCTGCGCCGCTCCTCTTCCTCCTCGGGACGGCGCGGAGCAGCCGCGAACAAATGCGGAACGGGGCGCTGAGCGAAGGAAGCAGGTTTGGGAGGAAAAGGAAAAACAAACCACGACGTGGGGAAAAAAAGATAAAAGATTAGGGTGTTTTTTGTTTTGTTTTGTTTTTTTTTTTTTTTTTTTTTTTGGCAAAGACGTTAACGAGGGGTGTTGAACACATGGCAAGCGGACGGCGGGGGGGGGCGCCGGTCCCGCGGGCGCGGCCGCTCCGCCTGCCGCGCCCCCCGGCCCCATGTGAGCAGCACGTTGCGCGGCGGCGGCAGGCCGTTCCCCCCGCGAGGCCGTGCCCACGGGCCGTTCCCCCGGCGAGGCCGTGCCCACGGGCCGTTCCCCCGCGAGGCCGTGCCCACGGGCCGTTCCCCCCGCGAGGCCGTGCCCACGGGCCGTTCCCCCGCGAGGCCGTGCCCGCGGGCCGGGGAGCGGTGTCCTTCGTTCTTCCGAGCCGAGAAACCTCGCTGCAGCCGGAGCCCCGTCGCCAGCGCTCAGAAAGGGGCGGGCGGCCCTGCGGGAGGGAGAAGGGGGGGGGAGGGAGATGAGCGTTTCCCGGCTGCGCTCCCAGGCCGGGGCCACTCCGGTGTCCCGGGGCCGGGCCGTCACCCACCTCACCGCCGCAGCACCGGCCGGAACGCCGTCCGCAGCCTGTCCAGGCAGGTCCCGCCCAGCTCAGCGCCTCCCGGGCCGCCCTTGGCGCCCCTCCCGAAGCCTGCACAGACACAACCGGCTCGCCGTGGGCCCGGCCCGGCCCCGCCGCCCTCCCCGGCCCGCTCGCTTCGAGCGGGGAAGCCTCGGCATCCGCGCCCCGCCCGGGCACCGCGTCCCGGCGGCGGGGCGTGTGTGGGGGTGGGTGTGTGTCAGCGCGAAGGGGGGGGGCTCACGCCGCGCCCTGGGTCCCGGCCCGGCCCGCGGTCCCGCCCGTCCCCGCGGCCCCGCCGCCGCGGGTACCTTCGCCCGCCGCCGCGTACTGGCACGGCTCCCCCAGGCCGCGGTGGGACGCGCAGCTCCGCGGGAGCGGCTGCAGGTCGAAAGCGGAGCTCCGGAAGGCCTTGGCGGGCAGGGGCTGCTCCCCCGCCGCGCCTCCGCTTCCCTCCGCGCCGCGGCCCTCGGGGTCGCCCCTGCGCGCCGCGCTGGCCCCGGCGGTGCGCGCCAACGACCAGATGCGCGGCTTCTCCGCGGGCGCGTAGGGCGGCGGCGGGCCGGCCAGGGCGGCGGGGGCGAAGTCCACGGCGGGGGCCTTGGCGCAGGGAAAGGCGCGGAAGGGGCCGGGCAGGCTGCAATCGCTCCGCGGAGCCTCGGGCAGCGCCGCGCCGAGGCTGGGGGCTTCCTGCAGGGAGCTGGCCCGGCCCTTCTCCGGCTTCCCCGCCTCCTCCTCCTCCTCCTCCTCCAGGTCGTCCAGGTCGCTGAACCGCAGCTCCTTGTCCTCCTTGCAGCTCTTCTGCTCTGCTCGGACACACGGAGGGGAGGAGGGGGCGGCAGGGCGTTAGTGTGGGGAGTGGGGCGCGGGGGGGGGGAGGCTCGAAAGCGGCCGCCACTTCGAGCTACTTCGAGGCGCCCGTCCTGCCTCTCCCGCCTACCTCTGCCTTCGCTCTCCGCGCCGTATTCCTCCTCTTCCCGCGGGGTTTCTTCTTTCCTCTCTTCCCCCGCTTTGTTCTTGGGAGACCACGTCATTTTATTTTCTTTCTTGAGCCTCCGTCTGGCGTTAGCAAACCAAGTGGACACTTGCGTCAGGGTCATTTTGGTGATGATGGCCAGCATGATTTTCTCTCCTTTAGTGGGGTAGGGGTTTTTGCGGTGCTCGTACAACCAGGTCTTCAGGGTGCTCGTCGTCTCTCGCGTTGCATTTTTGCGTCTGGCCGAACCGCTGAAATCCACCGTCCCGTACCTGCTGGGAGATGGTTAGGAAGGGGGGGCCGGCGGGACCCCCCGGCCCTGCCCCTGCCCGCCTGCCATCGCTGCCCAGTTTGGATTTTAGCTGATGGGTGCTCCCGGGGCACCTCGTTTCTTTCATACAACGTTTGTCAGGTCGGAGGCCCCCCCCGCCGTTTGCCGTCGGCCGCTGCCTCGCAGGGGGACGCTCAGGTTGCCGGGCGCTCATCAAAGGGCTTTTACCTGTCGTACTGGTACTGCCCCAAGGAATGATCGTAGGAGTAGTAGGCGGCGGGCTGCGCGATTCCCGAGTGCAACGTGCCGGCGCCCTCCTTGATTTCATACTGGGGGTTCTGCAGGGGAAGCGGCAGCGTCTGGCGTCGAGCAGGAGAAGAACCCCCGCCGCCCCGTCCCGTCCCCCCGTCCCCCTCCTTAGCCGCATCCAAGTCCCCTCACTCCCCGCACCCCGGACGGGACGGCGCCCGGTCCCCCTCCCCGACACCCGCGGCTACCCACGGCGTTTGCCGCCTGTTGCACCCCCGGTGTTCCTCCCCCACCCCCCCCCCCAACCGCGCTGCCCGGGCGGGCGGGCACTCACCAGCGCGGTGTAGAGCGCGGCGGGCTCGGCGCTGTAGGGCAAGTAGTTGCCGTAGCCCTGGCCGGCGGCGTACGGGGCCCCGTACATGCCCAGCGCCGCATTGAGCTCGGCACGGCCCGGCGCCAGCAGCCGGCCCTCGTACGGGGCGAGGCAGAGGGAGGCGGCGGCCGGCGCCGGGGAGGCATCCGGCCCGGAGCGGGGGGCAGGCTCGCAGCAGGTCGTGCTGGGGCTGGCGGGCACGAGAAACTGCGGAGAGGAGAGGAGAGAGCGGGGACGGCGCCGAGTGACTGTCGAGGCAGCCCCATGGCGGGGAGTTTAGAAGCGTGTGCGCGTCTGGGTGCGGGGAGGAGGGGGCGGAGGGGGTGAGGAGGGGGATAGGAAACCCGGGCTGCAGCAACTAATTATAGAAACCGGGAAATAAACGGAATGGGAAGCGGGAGCCCCTGGGAAGGGGGGCACGATTAATCAAGCAGGCAAAACTTTAAGGAAATAATTGCTCTCGAAAATTGCAAAAAGATCCGTACGGCTCCTTTCCGCCACCCGCTCGGTCCGTTCGCATTGATTTAAATGCAAGAAGTTGCGATTACAGTTAATTTGACAATAGGCAAAGCAGTAAATATGTCCGCTAACGCAATCGAAAGCATTTGATTTCAATAAGTTCAAGGGGACAGCGAACTTCCCAAGCGAGGGAGGCACATCTTGCAGTGATTACGGTGTATAAATAATTCTACCCAAATAAATCGTGACTCGAGGTACGGTAGAGCGACTACTTAGTTAATCTAGGGTGCCTTGGTGTGGGTGTGAATGGGGGGTGTCTTTCGGAAATCGTATGGGGCGGGGGGGGGGGGGGAAGAAGACAAAAAAAACCCCTCCCGACAGATCCTAATAAAACACAGGAAAAGGACCGACCCGGGGAGGAAGGGTGGAGAAAGCGGCACAGCCTGGTCCCGCAGAAACGCGAGCGCAGCTCCGCGCCGGCGGAGCCGCCGTCCCCCCCCCCCGCCCGGCCCTCCGCGGGGCAGCTCCGCGGGCTCGGAAATCGGCCGCACCCGGGATTTATGTATTTATTTGTTTGTTGCACTTAAAACTGAACGGTGGAGGAGAAGGGGAGAGGGGGAGGGGGAATTACCGGTTTCCTAAACGCCTTTGCTGTGCACACTGCGAGTTATTTGTTTAAGCCTAACACAACACAAACGAGACATAAACACACACGCACATTTTTTAAAAAAAGGCTCCAGATGTGCCCTTTTAAAAAAAGACTCTAAGTAAGGGAAAGGGAAGAAAAAAAGGGAGGGGGAACAAGACATCTGGACAGCAGCAGCAGAATCTGAACAAAAGTGAGTGCTGCTCACTCGCCTTACCTGTGAAGTGGTGCTGTAGGGGTATCCGAACTGAGAGAAGGACATAGTTGCTCCTTATTTTTGGACCATAGGCAATATTTTCCCCCCAAGATCGATTGTAACTAAACCCTGCTTCAAGATGCACCTTCTCACACACACATTTCCACGTATGGCCTTTTTTTTTTTTTTTTTTTTTTCCCTCAATTATAGATGATTGCACTTAAGAAAAGCAGCCAGACATCTGAGGCGGGGGGGTGTGGGGGGGGGGGAGGTTGGTGCCTGGATTAAAAAAATAGGCTACCCCCCACTTCCCATCGCTCTTAATAAATATGTTTGTATAGAGAGAATTTAAAAAGCCACCCCACATGTATAGAGAGTTTAAGTGCAAAGGGGCTTTTTTTCAAAGAGGGGGGGAAAATCACGTAGGGCTTGCGAGCCACGGAGCTCGCTTGTATTATTTTCTGCTCTATAGGTCTTTAGCGCGCGCCGGTGGGCGCGGAGCGGGCTGACGTCACGGCCCTGCCGGCAGGCGCGGGCAGCCCCGCGCGCGCTCCGCGCCGGCTTGGGGTTGCGCGGGGGCGCACGGCGAAAGCAGGGAGCGGGGTGGTGGGCGAGGGGCTCTCCCTCCCCTCCCTTTCTCTTTTTAAAACACTATCCAAATTTGTCTTGGGGGGGGAATAAATATATATATATATATATGTAAAAAGGGGGAAATCACGGCATCCGCCGGTGCCCCCGCCCCGCGTAGCCGCGGCGGTGCGGTGCGGAGCGGCGGCAGCGCTGTTGCAGTCGAGGCGGAGGCGTGGGGGGGGGGGGAGTTGTGGGTGTGTGCGGCGTGTCCCCCCCATCCGCCTCGGCTGCCCGTCCCTTCGCGGCGCAGAGCCCGGCAGCGGCAGGGCTGGGCCGGGGGGCAGCGCGGCTCCCCCCCCCCCCCCCCCCCCGCGGGGCGCGGAGCGGGCCGTGCGCTCTTCCCCCGCGCACCCGAAACGGCCCCCGCAGGGGGGGCGGGGCAGCGCGGAGGTGATGGATGGCAGCCCGGGCTGCCCGTTACCGCTACGGTGTAATTGCATCAATTAACAAATGGAAATGGCCTTGTTTAACCAGCGACTTACATACTGCGAGTTTGCCTTTGAGGCGAGATTCCCCCAGTGGGGTGGGGGGGGGGTGGTAAATGGGGGATTTCCCCCTCCTGCGGCGGGGGCTGCGGCTGCGCTCCCGCCCGGGCGCGACGTCCTGCCAGTCCCAGGTAGAAAAATTAAAACCCCCGCGGCCGTGGCCGGCCCCGCTCCGCCGCCGCCCCGCTCCCCGACGGGTGGCGCTGCCGAGCCGCCGGCGGGGCCCGCCCGGTGCGGTGCTGCCCGGCCCGGCCCGGCCCGGCCGGGGGGCGGCTCGGCGGGGGGGGCAGCGGCCCTGGCCGCGCTTCTCCCCGGCCGTGGGAGCGCAGCCGGCTGCCCGCGCCGTCGGGGCAGCAGAGCGAGCGGCCGCTGCCCGCGGGGAGCGCCGTGCCCGCCCGGCGGGGGGAGCGGCCTGGCCTGGGGCTCGGGGTCGGCGGTGACAGCCCCCGGCGGGGAGGAGCGCTCGGGCGGCGTAAGGCCGAGCCGTGTCGCTTGCCGTTAACGACGGGGCAGTAACTTAAGAAAATTCATTAAAGAACACCTTTGGGTAACATTACTGCTAATTATTTAATTGCAGGAATCCCTGTGGGGGAAATTATGCTAATTATAAAGGAATAAAACCACTTGTTCTAAAGCACTTAATTCAGCAAAATTTAGTCTTTTCACCAGAACGTTTCTTACATTATTTGATGAAAGAAACGACGGGTGCAGCAGTGTGCTCATCCGGCCTGCGCTCAGAGCCCGGGGAGCTGACGCTGGCCCCGCCACGGTGCTGGCAGGTTGCATGCAGGGCTCTCACCCTCCTCACCAATACGACAGGGACAGAGGCCGCTGGAACCAGGGCAGAATTCACTGTGCAAAAGCGCTTTTCTAACAGACATAATGCAGCTGAGCGCAAACATCGTGGTTGCCAGTCTATCGTAGGCAATCAATGTGACAGCAAACCCGTTACCTGTCGGGTACGCTGGAGCCAGCCCAGCTGTGAGAGGTGGCCTTGTGCAGCCCAGCCCTCTCCACTCACCACACGCTGCCCTATGGAGGTGTTTCTGTAGCATGCTTTGTCCCTGAGAGCCACCCGGGCGACCCATTTAATTGCCCTTACAACCTGGGATATTAAATGGCGTTCCCGTTAACAAATACAAGTTCTACCTTGCTCCCCAGCTCTTCAGGAGGACACAAACTCCAGCTCTTCGTGCTCTCCTGAGCACTGCCTCCACGCACCCTGTCAGTCCCTCACTGAGTGACTGGACTCACCAATTCAAAGCTGCCAAATCGTCTTTCTGCAATTTGCAAATATTGGTATAAACCTTCTGTTAACAGGCTCTTGAACTCGGCTTGGTGGAGGGCAGCTCTGGGGAAGGAGCATGCAATTTGCCATTCTTTTCGTCACAGAGAAACAGCTTCAACAGCCAGCTTTCCATTCTGATCATATACCACATCTCAGAGAAGCGGAACTGATGCTGTACGTGGTCACTGCAGATTTTTCTTTCCTTTTCCTGAACCTCTGTCATCTCTCTCCCCGCATACAAGCGCATCATCCCACCCCCACGGCGTACACTGCCTTCATCCAGTTGTCCTAGCGAGGACTGTATGACTATAAACACAAGCAAAACTGGAAAATGATCTCGTGATTCACAAACTTTTGTTCTTGAAAGAGAGGAGCGTGAGGCTTAACTGTAAATATTTCTGTGAGCAGCTCCTCTTGAAGCAAGGCAGGAGTTCAAATGCAGCCTACAATGTGATTTTTGATGCTTTTAAAGCCCACATTGTTTGCTTTAGCTCTGATATTGCTTGGCTCGGGAGGTAATTGCAAGGGGTGAAAGTAAGAGTACGTGCTTCCCACCGATGCAAACGCAGCTGCCGATAACTGTGAATAAAATAATAGGTTAATTGAAATAAGTGTTGGAGTATCATTTCTGGAAAAGGAAGAGTAATGTTCTAAGAGGGGTAAGAATAAAGCCGCTTCAAAAACATGTAACAGAAATGTGGCTGAGAAGAAAGTGTCTTTATATTTTCGAATATGGGGGGGATTTTTCCGCTGTTGCTTTTTTGTACTGAGAAAATGAAAATTCTTCAAGTCCATGCATGAATAAACAAGTACAGCTGGGCAGCCTAATACATAATTTATACTGATCAGTCACTGCAGATTTAACTGAATAAAGCCAAAATGAACACTAATTGTTTTGACAAACTAAAATAGTGTATATGATGGTTTATTGTGCGGCTTGCTGGTTACTGTCCTTATCTGAGTAGCTATTGTCAAGACTGATTTCTGCATGAAAGGCAGAAAAAGATGAAACAAAGTAGGACAATATTAAGATTAATATCTTGTTGAAGGTAAAGCATTTTAATTGCTTAACATACAAGCAGAAAATAGAAAAAAACTGTCTCCAGGACAGAGGGGAGAATTGGCACAGTGAAGTGTGGGACGTCCCCTGATTTAGGGGGTGAGGTGTAATTGCTGAGATAACGTACGGTACCTTGTCAGCTGAATGCTAAACCTGAAAGTAGATTTTTTTTTTGAGATCACTTTTGAAATACATCAGGAATAACTTTGATTGCCTTGTTTCTGAAAAGGAACATCCAAAAAGATGTCAGTGGATTTCCAGAGAGTTATATATCTAGGCCAGTTAATCCAAGAAGCTGCACAATTTCGCTCTGGTTTTGGTATGTGTGAAGTGAAAGGAATACATGGGTGGGTCTTTGCTTGGCTTCTTCAGACCCTCTCACATAGATGATGGCTAAATAAGAGCCATTTAAAATTTTATCTGGATATTAAGAGACAGACGAGGGTAATAATATTCACAGGGATCCCAAAGCACCACTTCTGCGTGGACTGCTTCGCGTGCCAGTGAGCTGCTTCTTCCTAACCGTCCCCTGCGGTGGGCTGCCGCCTCGCCCTCCTGCCTCTTCTCCGAGGACCAGCAGCTCCGCTTGGCTCCCATTATCACTTCTGTAATCACCTGTGGATTTGCCAAACCTCAGGTCATCACCGTGTTTGCTGTGATTAAGTTTTAGGATATGGCTGCAAAATCAGCAGTCGGGATTGAGCGCTCCAGGAGTTGGAGGATGGTGGGACACGGGGCTTTGACCTGGACCATCCTGTGCCTGGAGGCGGCTGAGCGGGTGGAACCTGAGCGTGAATCTTACCCACACTCCTGGGTGGGATTTTCCCTTGGATCTGGGGCCATCACTAAACCCAGCTTCTGAAATCATCCTTGGCTAATGAGGAGATGCTTCTTTTGTAAGAGTGCTCTGCGTCGGGGTAATCCAACACTTGAGGGCCAGCTTTCTAAGGGTTATCTGTAGATTATTCTATAAAGTATGAGTTCATCCAGTGAAGATACATCTACACAAAACTCATGAGAACTTCACCTCTGGGAGCTTGTTTGTGCTTTGCTGAGGTACAGGCTAACTTACCGTGGGAGGGTCAGGGCAGTGTCACAGCTCTCATTCAGGCTGACTCTTCTGCGGATTCAGTTTCCAGAGAAATCAACAGAAAAAATTTTGAATATCTTTTTTTTTTTTTGGACAAAGCAGTTGTTGTTCTGACACAGCTTGAGCAGGATATGGGGCTCTCCAGGTACCATTAACCACCAAGCTGTGTCTGTCTGTGCTTTCGTGGCCTTTGCATCAGCTGATGTGCAGTTGGTGTGAAGGTGTCATTTGGCTGCCAAGCTGAAGGTTTTTAATTTAGTATCACCTCAGGTAGAGTTTGTCATTTTTGTTCTGTGGCAGTGAATGGCCATTTTAGTCCGTTACATAGTCTGCTTGCTTTAATTTCCAGGATCTATTTTTTAATTAGCCTGCTGGCTACATGCAACAGTGCCTTATTTTCCAAGAGTTAACACCAATTTATGTGCGCTATTAAACATGGATATCAGAACTGCTTCCTTATTTACTTTCATTTGTAATTTACAAAACCCCAGTTGTGTTTGTTGTACATTAGAAACATAGTGAGCTTATAACTTATTCCAAAACCAGAAAATGCTTAGCCCAAGGCAGTTAGTCCCGGCCCCATCAAATCAGTTGGCCTTGAGCCTCTT